GGGTTTTTACTGCATCATCCTAATTAATCATATCATGTTTTTGCTCAGGATGCTTTTAGTGTCCATTAATTGGGAGCTAAAAACAGGCAACATTTTGTTCACTGCAAAAAACAACAACAAATGACTCTGGACCTGCCAGATTCACATCTGGTGGCAGAAATATATACTTTGTTTTTCCTTCCTGTGTGATCCTGGCTTTTCTCACCTTTAAGAGAACATCATGGTTATTAAAAGGCATGAATAAATGCATCTTCCTAGCACGGTTGTTGTCTGTGTGTGAATCAGGTTATATCTCCTTTGAGTTTGAGGTAAAGAGAACAGCGTATTTGCTCTGATCTCACACCACATGAAAAGACACAATCTGTTTCCCCTAATGCCTGACATCATATTCCGATTAAACCTTTCCTTCGTGACTTCTGGTAGCTTTCAGAACCAATATGTTCCCCCTTTTCAAAGGAAAAAAAAACTTTTGCGACAATGAAAAATTTTAGTTTGATTTACTAGGAGTGTACTAATAATGAAGAACCTGTTGTTTTTACTGCATATGGTTCTGATTTCCAAAACTGCAATTAGAACTTAAACAATAAAGAATTAACCTCTTACACCCTAAGGGGATATAAATAAATTTCTGCCTGACAAAAACACACAAAAGTAAATAACTTATAGCCTCAAAGCTATTAGATTTAAGAAGAAACTTTTGGTACGTCTGTAAAGGTAAGATGTCATAGAATGGTTTTCTGGTGTCAGCACCATTGTAGCTTTGACCCTGCCTGAAATATTAGGGACAAAATACAAAATATTTTGCAATTTTTGAACCTCGCCAAAATTTTCTTTGAAATAAACATTGCAAAACACTACCAAAATATTATTTATAGCACAAAAAAGTAGTACAGACTTTCAAATCTAAATGTTGTGTAAAAATATACAAAATGTGGACTCAATCAGATGAATCATATTTATTTTAGAATGGTATTAGTGAGAAATTTCTTAGGCGGAGAGGCCATTTTGGCATATTTATCCATAAATGTCACCAAACTGTGCCAAATATGTTTTTTACATCAAAACTGGGGGTTTGGTAAAACTACAAGGTCATGTAGCAGCTGGACCCGCCGGTGGGTCCGTAGGGTTCAAGGGGTTAAATAATCATAATAAAATCTAAATATTTGCGTTCATATTGTCATTGATTATCTCAAGGAAAGAGATAATAATGGTTGCAGCTATCTCTCAAATTAAGTGCTTGTGACCCAATCTAAATCTCCCAATTTGATTTCTTCAAACTAATTGGCTCTACTTAATTTTTGTTTACGACCTTGTTCCTACATATGTAATAATACATTTCTAAAATATCTCAGAGTATAATCTGGTGAAGATTCTCAGTCATCCATGTCATAGTCATTCTAAAGTTGCCCCTAACCACTACCCCCTTTCAGAGGCATAGACCAGTATAGGGTATTGCAGGCTAACAAAGACCTCAATGACTCCCCATTCCTAATGAGCGGACTTGTTCTTTTGGTTTAATTTGCATGTTTTTTAATCCAAAACAAGGCTTTGCTGGGCCACTCTATATAAGCTTGGAACTCAATGCTAATTCAGACATTTTGAGTTGGAAAAGCTTCCTTAATGTGAAGCAAAAGTCCAGTGGATAGTTTTTTTTACTTTTTCGGAAATCTTAGTGTATAGTTTCAGGTTGCAGCATGACAAAACGGAAGCAGAATTACTTCTATTTATTTATTGTAAACAGATAACAAAAAGGACTCTGCTGTGTTCTCAGACTAAATGTTTTCAAAATATATATATTTTTTCATATTATCTGTTCTGTATTCCTTCGTAGTTTATCTTTACCTCATTTCAACATATTCTTATTATCAGTTCGTATGAACAGTATTTCGTGGGTTTTTGACATTTTTCCTCGAAAAAACATATCAGTGCGCCTGCGTAGCCAGCCAGACGAAAAAAGCAGATCAGCGGACGGACGTAAAACTGGGACGGACGAGCTTTCGACAGTGCAATAATTGATGTCTCTCACTAGGTTGCTTGCTGTTTTGGATGTTAGGGTTAATTGTATGTTAAATTGTATGTTATTGAATGGTGCGTAAGATGCGCATGCGCACTGATATCTTGTCTCGAGGCAAGACGTAAAAATACGACGAAATACGACGAAAAAAACGCCAAAAACCTACGAAATACTGTGCATAACTTTTTGTACGATTTCTATTTTCAAATGTAATCAAATGAAATTTCTTTCAAATGTCACTTTTTCAGATTGAGTTTTAAAACTTGCATTATTTTCAAATTGTGTCTTCGAGTCCAATACAAATGTTCGCTTTCGACGTATAAAAATATTGTTGCTAAACTTCATGCAGACCCATAGAAATGCTTCTTTGATCCGTACTCCGGAGGAAAGCTCATCCCCAGGAGTTTAGAGAATGTGATGATCTGTACGCAATTTGAAAATATCTCTCAATCTGAAAAGACAAATGTAAGAAAAAAAACTTCCGAAAAGATTAGCTAAAATATATATATTTGTTTGCAACTGCATTCAAAGAAAGTTCATTTTATACATTTCAGCTTGTGATTCCTAAAAATATACAGTTACTTTACATAACATTAACAATACGTATAAATATTTATCAAAATAAAGTAAAATGATTCGATACATTTTTCTATAAATGTATTAGTATGATATACAATTTTTATATATTTTAAATTATATTAATAGTATTTTATGATACATTTAAATATTTCCTTGTACATTTTATAATTTAGTTGTATATTTCATATAATACATAATTAATGAATGTTACTTCTACTTATTAAATGGTAAATTAATTTATTTCGTCATGTATTTTGGCCCTCCATACCTCAGAGGTCACATCATAATGATTGTGAGAACCATCTTGTGACCCCCAACTTAGGCTACGTTCACACTGCAGCCTGAAGTGACCCAATTCCGATTTTTTTGCCCATAAGTGACCTGTATCTGATCTTTTTATGACAGTCTGAACGACACAGATCGGATTTTTTCAAATGCGACCCAGGCCACTTGGATATGTGGTCCTGAATCCGATACGTATCTGATCTTTTCAAATGCGACCTGTGTCTGTACGGCCAGGTCGCATTCATCCGACCTACACGTCATTGATACTTGACAAATGTTACAAATGTTACTAATCTGCGTCCTACTAAGCGGAGGCGGGAAAAACTAACAACCATTGCGGAAGATAAAACAGAGAGCAGTCAATGGAGAGAAAGTGAGGTTGCTGACTTAATTCATATTTGGAAAGATAGCTCGATTCAGATCAAACTTGAAGGGTCTTACCGGAACCGGGGGAGGGTCTTTCTTTTTGATCTTCTTAAAAAGATTTCGTTCGTAATTTGCCTGCTCCTGTTGGAGAAGAACTTAAAGAACGCAATATATGCTGCGGTATTACGAATCATGTTTACTTCCGCAAACACTGAGGACGCTTGCTACATGTGACGTCATCGCGTCCTCGAGTGCGCATGCCGGACACTTCGGTTGAACGCTTTCAGTTCACACAGTAGATCACATACAAGTCGCATATACTTGGAAGTGTGAACGGACACGCAAAAAAATCCGATTTCACAAAAAAATCGGAATTGAGCATTAAGGCCTGCAGTGTGAACGTAGCCTTAGTGTCTCAAGACCCCTACTTTGGGAACCCCTGCCTCAGAGCAAGGGTGACTTTATTCAGTGTAGAAAGCAAAGTTTGAGCTCTAAATTAAAAGACAAATGATCAAGTTTTAGTTGTATTGATAGTTTTGCAAGGAGCTTCGTATAACCATATTTCTTTTTAACCTCTGTTTTGTTATTGAAAATAACATTTCAGCGTGAATGAAGTGGTAGGAACAGGAAAATCTCTAAGTTAACCAGACCAATGTTTTTCCTAAATACTACAGAACAGAGGCCATCACACTTTCTGGTCTAATACTGACTTGTTTTCAGATTTTTATTTCTGTGAATGAAAGCTCAAACTGTGCCGCAGGATTCCGATTGTGTGCCAGCAGTTTTCCCTGGAACCGTATCAAGTCGGCTGGTTAGCCAGGCAGTGAGACTCGGTCGGCTATAGAAGGGATGCATTTCCTACTCCTGGGCGTCCAGTCGCCTTTGTATCCCCGCACAGCACAGCGTGAGCAGGAAGATCAGCAGCAGAATGAATGGGCGGCAGAGGCAGCGGCGGCGAGGTGAACCAGAGAGATTAACTGGGAAATTGACACTGACAAATCTCATACATTAAGGCTTCCTGGGAGGCAGCTATCGGTGGAATAGGCAGCAGGTACCATATCCCATAAATGAGGCCGGGCTTCTGTAATAGTCTGCATGCTGGAGAGCCAAACCTTCCTGTGGAGGAAACCACAAATGATAAGGAAGCCAGGTGTGCCCGGAGACTTTTCATTTGACTAATGTGTTTTCAGCCAAAATAATGAATAGAGTGAAGGAGATGAGAGTAATTAATTTGAGCTTTACCAGCTAAATAACAAAGCAAATACGGGCAAAACTGTTTCATTTCCCTTCGGACTTGACGCCTTTTTCCTCCTCTCTTGCCTGCTTTAATGAGATAAAGCCAGCCTCCTTTGAAAAGGAGACCTAGATACTGTTGTTAGTAGCCCTTTGATCTGTTCTCAGGGTGTTTGCTTATATTTCTCAGGGTAATGAAGGACACAAACACCATTTACATACATCTTCTCAGTGTCCACAGATATTAGTAATACATCTTTTTTCTTGCAACACATTAAAACTAGCACACAAACTCAGACTTTTTGTCTTCTTAACTTGGAGCTATTTTGGCTTTAATTATCTCCTTCCCACCCCATTCTGCATGTTTCCTTCAGTGCTGCGAGTGGGGAACCTAATTACCAAACACAAACACCTCTTTGGCCCTGGCAGCCTCACCACTTCTTGTTGACTCTGTCTTATTCTCAGTGACTTAACCCTGCTCAAGAGGTTCATGGTGTGTTCTCTCTATCTTTATTTATTTCAGACGGTGAAGTTGTTTTCCTGGAAAGGTACTACTGCCCTTGCCGTTGCCTAGCAACAAAGTAGGTCCATGGGACTTCACATCTTGGAGATTCTCCACACCTACTGAGACGCAGTCCTCCTCAGACATTTGGGGAAAGTTTGAGATTACGTCGCATTTAATGAAAGTAAGCAGCTTTCATGAACACTTTTTCATGTATTTATACTCCTTTGTCAAGTTTGTCAAATCATCAAATCAAAGTTTATTTATATAGCACTTAACAAAAACACCGGGAAGACCAAAGTGCTTCACAGAAAGATTAAAAAAAAATTAAATGTGCAAAATGGGGAGCTAAAATCATAAGTATAAAACAATATGTCCTAAGAATTAAAATCCAGGTTGAAAAATGAGCCTTTGAATAATCAGTCAATTGAAGAAAGTGAAAAATACAATTATTTTCAACTTAAACTATTCAGTCATCTGCGTTTAGACATTCCCTTTGTTAAAACATTAATTTAACCTCAATACATACATAGCTGATTTTTAAAGGCCCCAGAACAACCAGCATCATGACCACCAAAGAACACCAAGGAAGAAATGTTGGAATGTTGTTAAAGTCTTTAAGATTTCTGTTTAATTCTTTATCTATGCGGAACAAAGAGAAATCGACCCAGACCCGTGTGTCCAACTGAACTGACCCACAAAGCAAAGAAATCATTAATCAAAGAAGCAGCCAAAAGTCCCACAGTACCGCTGGAGGAGCTGCAATCGAAGCATCCTTAGTTCTGACTCACATAAAAAACCCTGCCGTGAAAAAAAGCACTTCATGTCTTTTTGAACCCACCAATGCCTGCAGAGAAACGTGTGAAGTCAGGATACTGCCAAAAGTTCACAGACATAATAAATGCTTTTCTCCACGTACATCCATCCGTTCATGATTTCTCTGTGCTCGTGGCTTTTTATGCTCCTCCAGATTTCCTCCTCCAACTTTTTTCACTTTGATAGAAGAATCAACCTGAGAAATTAAACTGCTTGATGTTGGTTACTCCTCTTCAGACATCTTAATGCTAATGGCTGTTCTCTCCTACAGATAAATTCTGACTTTAGGGATGCACCATTTAATCGGCCCCCTATCTGTATCGGCCTTAAAACTGAATATCGGACATCGGCCACCCCACCGATATTTAACCCGATATTTGATCAGCTTCTGAGTTTCTAAAGTCTAAAAAAAAAAAAATACTACTTCTTCTTCGTCTGTAAAAACCTCTTTTTTACAGACTTAAAAAGTTCTAAAGACGAGGGAAAAAATATTGATACATTAAAATATCCCAATATCTTCATATGCTGATATATTGCCATTTAAAAACACCATATCAATCTCTTTTACTAATGAAATATTGCTATATGTCATCGTTATGCTACGAAATCCCCCGCAAATTCACGAAATGTTGCCATATTTTTATATGTTGATATATTGACGCGGTATCGATCTATTTTACTAACAAAATCTCACAAGAATTTGCAAAATATCACGAGAGTTTGTAACAGAACCATGAAATTTCACGAGATTTTGAAAGTAAAATAGATCGATACCGCGTTTTTAAAAATCTATTTGATATCAGCATATGAAAATATATTTGAGTAATTATTTTTCAAAGTGTCAGAAATGGATAATAAAACTGCTATTTTCAATGACTACTTATTTTTGTCCAGCTTTAACATCGGTATCGATATCGGTTATCGGCTACACGAGTTTTAAAATATCGGCATATCGGATATCGGCCAAAATCCCAATATCCTGCATCCCTATCTGACTTCATATAAAACAGCATCTCTGTCTTCAACTGACAATTTCATAAACACATTACTGGACATAAGAGAAAAAAACTTTACAGGTGCTGCAAACTAAATGTTGTGATCAAGTATAAAACAATTCATTCAAGCTTCACTTTCCTGAATCAAAAGTAAAGCTAACGTTATTTTAGCTCCTACAAAAATCCCAATTTAACATTAATTTCCGACATAGTGCTGCTGTTGTCAGAATGCATTCTTTACTGTGTTAACTAATTTAATAATAAATTCATTTAACTGACTTTTTTTTTTTTTTACAATTTAAGAGAACTAAAACTAGGAAGAAAACAGTATTACCTCAAGAGTTGGAATTTCCTGAAGGAGAGGCTAAGGACAGGTTAAACCCCACTTTTAAACTCTTAATGTTATGATATGCATTTATTGGCATTTTGGTTTTGTTTAGTTTTCACTTTGGGTTTTCAGTTAGGCTTGGATAGATGTTATTCTGTTTTTACTGTTATGAGTTATGTTTTTTTTGAATTCCTTCTTAGTCTTACTGTTCGGTGGGGTTTTAGTTATCTCCTGTTAAGCATTCCTTTTTCCCTAGTTTTATTTTGTCATTCATTGTTTACATTTATCTATAGGTTATATTTCCTGATCACTCTCCAATGCCCCCTATATACACCTTCCTTCCCATTGGTTTTCATCACCTTTCAATCTGAGAAAGGTAATGACAAAAGGAAGCCATTTCTCAGCTGCATCACAGAGCTACCCATGACCTTCGTCTCACATAACTTCAACCTATTATTCCCATTGTTGCAGTTTCCTTTTGTGTCAATATTGTCGCCATAACTAGAGGTTACTATTTATGTATATTTGCGCCTCTCAAAATGTATGGTATAATTATTTATACACCATATAATATTTTCATCTTAGTAAAAGTATTACTTTACTTCTGCACCATACTAGACATTCTGTAGATCATTTTTTTAATGAAAAAGTTATGTATATGACCTTTGAGGTAATAACCAGAGGGTTATTTTTGTCTCGTAAAAAGATAAATCTTTCTATAGCGTGAATGTATTTTTCTTTTATTTACCAGTGGCCGTGTACTACTGCTTAAAATGAATCCAAACTGCAGGATTTTGGCTGCAGCAGCTTTTCAAAGACCATTTTTCACTCCGAAGGGAGAATTGATCACACTTCGCTGTGTTAAATATTCATGGAGGCGTTGTGTTGTTAAAATAAGGCTCATTAGCACTTCCAGCCTCTTTTCAAGTTCCGCCTATCTCTTGTCACTCTCAAAAGAGCAACAGAAACATGTTATTCATCTCTCACATCCTGTGCACTCAAAGTGGGTCAGAAATGAACATTAGCGATTCCTTTATGTCGAAGTCAGACCTACTTTAATGCTATTACATTTTAACACCAATTGAAATATCATGTGTGGGTTAACATATTATAGCAGAGGCTGAATTGCCTTCACATATTTTTTTCTTATTATATCATTTTTTTAAAACCCTTATCTTTACTTTGTTATACAGATATTTTTTTATTCAGAAATTTCCTTCCCGTTAACATCTGATGAAAACCTTTTTGCTTGCTTAATAAGATACAGTTATTCAGATTAAGGAAGGACTGTTTTCATCAGGCATTAAAATTCATATGAGTGATAACCAGCAATACAAGCTTAAAATGCAAACATTCAGTCACATTACTTTGAGGGATCAAGGTAGCATTTTTTTTTATATCTGATAAGGAAGTAAGAATTTACTTGATAAAAATGGAAGATTTGAAATATTTAACAAAGTATAATTAAGTGTTGTAAAAAACTACCATGGGATTCATATCACCTCTGTGAAAACTAAAATCTGTGAATTTGAATGTCAATAAAAGGAAAATATGGTGCATTTGATAAGCAACTTACAGAGCTTAGCCCCTTAAGCCCCCATAAAATGCTGAATTCATGGGGTAACTTGTATATTCATGAGAAAAAAGCACCTGGTCACTCACTCTAATACTTTGTTGGACCGCCTTTAGCTTTGATTACGGCACGCATTCGCTGTGGCATTGTTTTGATAAGCTTCTGCAATGTCAAAAGATTTATTTCCATCCAGTGTTGCATAAATTTTTCACCAAGATCCTGCATTGATGATGGTAGAGTCTGACCGCTGTGCAAAGCCTTCTCTAGCACATCCCAAAGATTCTCAATGGGGTTGAGGTCTGGACATGGCGGCCAGTCCATGTGTGAAAATGATGAGTCATGCTCCCTGAACCAGTCTTTCACCATTGAGCCCGATGAATCATTGTCATCTTGGAATATGCCAGTGCCATCAGGGAAAGTCCATTGATGGAATAACCTGGTCATTCAGTATATTCAGGGAGTCAGTTGACCTCATTCTTTGAGCACATCCTGTTGCTGAACCTAGACCTGAGCAACTGGAGCAACCCCAGATCATAACCCCGCCCCCACAGGCTTGTACAGTAGACACTAGGCAAGGTGGCTGCATCACTTCACCTGCCTCTCTTCTTACCCTGATTGGCCCATCACTCTAGAACAGGGTCAATCTGGACTCATCAGACCACATTACCTTCTTCCATTGCTCTACAGTCCAATCTTTATGCTCCCTAGCAAATTGAAGCCTCTTTTTCCGGTTAGCCTCACTGATTCTTATTCCTTATTTCAATCGTTGTGTATATTAGCTGCGACATATGAATCAAGTTGCAATGACCGAAAACATTTGATTGACATATGACAGTTGATATATGATTGGCTGAATTTAGGTGTACAAGCTGACATATAACTAACTAGCCTGCATAAGATAATGGGAAAATAGAAATTTTCTAGCTATTGGGACAATATGGTCTGATAAAGAATACATTTATATATCTGTTTAAGCCATTGGCAGTAGAGTAACAACCCTATGGTTGTCAGGACTTACTCCTTATACACCATTGATATATTAGCCAGTTCCCTATTAAAAACAACAAAGAAAACAACTATTATTTATTATTTGATTTGACGCACTTCTTTAGACTTGGCTTGTTAACAGTTTTTTAAATGCTGAAACATAATATTGCAAAAGTTGAAAGAATCCATTTGAATGACAGTCTGCTGGAAACAGTGAATCAACTGTTATTTATAAAGATCTTTACACGTGTAAAGTAATAAAAAGAGAAAAAACAGCAAAAACCAAAAGACAGAAACACCAACAGTAAAAAAAAAAGTAAATCACCAAAAACAAAAGCCAAAACAGAAAAACCAGTGAGTTAAAAAAACTACATTTTAATAGCTATTACAGTCTGAAATTATGTTCAACTTGAGTTGAAGCCATCCGTCCATTTTTTTTTTTTTTAAGATACCTAAACTAAGGTTATTGGCCGTTCACACAGTCA